AGGTGGTCTCTGTAGTAGCAGCCTATGTCAGACACTGTTGTTTCACCATCTTCACGATTAGCTCCTCATCCCCATGCCAGAATATCTATGTGTCGACTTCGACAATGCTGCAACTCCTCTCCTCTTTGGGGGTCAGCATAAACACCGAAAAATCCATCCTCACCCTTATGCAGGCTTTAGACTTTATCAAGGTGTCCTTAAATTAAATCACAGCAAGGGCTTATCTGTTGAGGGACAGGTTTCAAGCTAGGTCATAAGCAACCCCCGAGTACCTGTCAAGATTTGTCTCTCTGTCATAGGTCATATGGCTTCAAGCATTTACGTCACACAATTGACAAGACTCCACCTTTGTTGCCTACAAGTGTGGCTTCAAACAGTGTATTAACCAAATTGGCAGTTCATGAACACCATAGTGAATGCCTGCCAAAGTGATATTGTGCCTGTTATGGTGGAAGAATCCCCGCCACGTATGCAATGGCATTCCCTTCCTTGGTTCTGCTCTGGCCAGGACAACCATTACTGATACATCGCTGTTGGGCTGTGGCGCACATATGGACAAACGTACAGCCCAGGCACCTAGACATATTGAGAGCCCAGGATTTACATCAATGTTCTGGAGTTGCAAGCAAGTCAGAGGACTTACAAAGCCTTTTTCCCATTCATTCAAACTCACCATGCTCTCATAATGTCAGACAACATCACAACCGTCTTTTACATCAACTAACAGGAAGGAGCGAGATCCATCCCCCTGCATGCAGAAGTGGTCAGTCAATAGAACTGGTGTGTTGACAATCAGATTACCCTGTTGGCAGTTTACCTTCCCAGGAACCCAGAACATAGTAGACTCTCAGCAGACACTTTGCTGTCTCACAAGTGGGAGCTACATAACTTGATGGTGAACAATATTTTTGCTCTGTGGGGACCTCCACCAGGGAACTGTTCAACCCCCAAACAAATAGGAAATGCCACATATACTGTTCTAGAGGAACCTAGGTTACCACTCACACTGCAATACTCTATTTCTTCCAGGTCAGACTATCTGAACTATGCCTTCCCTCTGCCACCACTCCTGCCTTGAGTTTTACACAAGATTTGGCAGGAGAGGTTACGAGTTATTCTCTTTTGCCCTCAGCTGGCCCAGACAGTTTTAGTTCCTGAGCCACCTATTCAGATCATCTTGGACACTGATCATTATACCAATATTTCCCAATATCCTGACCTTGGGGAATGGCAAGATCAAGCATCCCAATCCATGTCCGCTTTATCTCAGGGCTTGGTTTTTGGGTGGACATCATCCCTAGAGTGATAATGTTCTGAAGCTGTGGAGGACATCCTTCCTAACAGTAGGAAGCATTCCACTAGAAAATGTTACCTAGTTAAGTGGAAGCATTTTTCTATCCGGGAGCATCAGAGATGTATACCCCCAGAAGCTTCAGGCATTCCTGTCATCCTGGACTATATTTTTTCCTTAAAGACAGCAGGTTTGTCCATCAGCTCCTTATGGGTCCAATTGGCAGCAGTCAGTGCATACCATACATCTTTGTATGGCTACTCGATTTTTGTGCACTCACTGACTAGCAGATTCTGGAAAGACCTAATCTGAACCTTTCTGCCTATTACAAAGTCTGCTTCTCAATGGCTTCTCACTTGATTCTTCTTCTCTCTGTACTCACTAAGATTCCCTTTGAACCATTAGCTTCTTGTTTCATGTTTCTCCTATCCAGGAAGATTGCATTGGTTGTAGCTATCACCTCAGCCAAAAGGGTTGGTGAGCTTGGGGCAATGATGGTGGATCATCCTTACATTGCATTCCATAAGGACGATGTATCATTACATTTACATTTACACCCTAAATCAGGGGTTCTCACAAGAAAATTTTTGGTGGCCTTAGAGTGCGGCCACCAACACTTGCTGGTGGCCACTGACAATTTTTCCTAAAATACGTAATTAACTTTAGGAAAAACAAATAAATATGCATATATACATGTCCGAATCATTGTAATTTATTTGTGTAAGGTTTTTTTTCAGACTCAGTAATAAAAATAATGTACAGTTGCCTCTATTCTTTACTAGACCTAAACAGAATAGAAACGAAATAAGGTGCCTTACACATTCTTCTCTTTTTTCTTGTTGTTTCTTTTGGGGTTTTTTTTGGTTGCTGTTTTTTTTGTTTGTTTGTTTGTTTTAAGACTTACTACCTAGTAGGGTAGGGAGGGAGCAGGGGCCATGGGCAATGGAGGGCTGGGAAAGGCAGCAGGGACCATAGGTGATGGGAGGTGGGTGAGCCCAGGGCTGGAGCCCAAAGCCCTGTGACTGGAACCTGAAGCCCCATGGCCAGAGCCTGCCACCCAACACCCTAGGACTGAAGTCAGAAGCCCGAGCCCCACTGCCCTTGGGAAAGGGGAGAACTCACACTGGCTGCCTGCTCCTTTGGTGTTTGTGGCTCCAGAGGGGGGCAGGGCCCAACCCCTACTGGTGGCCCCGGGGAAGGGGTGAATGCTTTGCTGGCCCTCTCTCCCCCCATCATTACCCAGCTGTGGCCACAAGAAAATCCCCTGAGGGCCTCATTTGAGAAACACTAAATTCACTCCTAAAGTAATTTCACAGTTTCAGCTGAGTCAGTCAATTCAGTTACCTGTGTTCTTCCCAAAACCTCATGCACCCTCAGAAGAAAGGAGGCTCCTTCCCTCCATGTTCGGCAAATCTGAGCCTTTTACCTGCAGAGAATAAAATGAATCAGAAAGTGTCCCACACTGTTTGTCACCATAGCGGAAAGGGTCAGGCTATATCCTCTCAAAGAATCTCAAAATGGATCTCAGGCTGCATTTTGCTCTTGTATCAGCTGTCTAATCTTCCCCCTCCTCTTTCCACAAGAACGCCAACAATGTCTATGGCATCACTTCAAGAGCTATCTCTGCTTGATATCTGCAACGCAGCTATACGGTGCTCCATGCACACATTTGCAAGACACTATGTGTTGGTACAGGCCTTCTCCACTGATATGCCTTTTGGAATGGCAGTCCTTCACTTGCCTCACCCATCTACATTCTCACACCCTTCTCCTATTTGAGTACTGCTTGTCAGTCACCCACAGTGGAATACACCCAGGGACCAGCACTCGAAGAAGAAGAGAAAGTTACTTACCTTAGTAACTGGAGGTTCTTTGAGATACATGGTCCCTATTTGTATTCCACTATTCGCCCTCTTTCCCCTCTGCTTCGGCTCTTCTTTGATTCATGGTGGAGGTAGAGAAGAAACTGGAGAGGCGGTCGGTTCATCCTGCCTTTTATCTCCTCGACTGGAGGCAAAGGTGAGACAGGGCACATGTACAGACCAAGGGACATTGCTTTCAAAATTCTCTGGCTCCAGGCACATGGAACATATGTGTATCCACAATGGAATGCAGATAGGGACCATGCATCTCAAAGAACATCCATTTACTATAAGGTAAGTAACTTTTCTCTTATGGATTCAATCTTCTTGATTTGTACATGTTTTTTAGGCTAGTACGCAGATATGTGTGCAGATATAGGGGAAGATTTTCAAAGTTACAGGTGCATAACTCCCATTGAAAGCTAATGAGAGTTAGATGCCTAACTGCTATTTTTGTCTTTGAAAATTCTCCCCCCTCTCGGTCCCCCCCATAGTCAACAGGCTGGCCAGTAGAGTTAAGTAAATGTGGACAAACGTAACAGTATATGCCACTCATCAGCTTCTAATTGTTCCTTCATCTTCCCTTCTCGAGAGCCCTTCTCTAAATTCTGTTTTAAAATATCACCTAAAAAGTTCTAATTTCTTATCTATGCCGCTTACATTTTTTCTCTCACTGATGTTCTGCAGTCATTCAGCATTGCATATAACTTCTTTATAGATCCCTAAATAGATTGCTAATTTAGGTTTTTATTAGTTTTATTAATTATATTATTAATTATATAAATATTTTTGTGATGCATTTGTATGACGGATGTGCTATAAAATAAAGGTTTTATTATTATTATTATTATTCCCTCCTGGAACCATGGGCAAGATGACAAGAGTCTGGAAATTTTGGTTCAACATCATTGATTGGGATCACATATAACCTACATACTTATGGAATGACATGTTTCTATTTAGAAAGCATCTCTCATCTTTGGGAGGTGCTCCAATGGCTATATGTATGCAGTCAGTACCTCACAGGACAAATAGGAAATTAGCTAAGACATAACATTCATGCATGGTTTCTGGTAATGCAGTATAGTTTTGTGAAAACTAATCAATCTCTTATGAATACCATCAATATATTGATTAATCATAAACTTGTTTATACATGTAGAACATAATTATCCTTTGAAGTGCATGGAATGTAACAAGATAAATTTAGTCTATGTTTCTCTTGTTAAGAAAGCTTCTGTAGTTAGGAAAGAAGGGTAGTGGCAATTTTAATCACTTTTTTTAGGGTGAATTTATTGCATTAGTAATAGGCAAACCTCCAGAGGTCCAGAAGTTTGGAAGCACCTCAAAGGTTCAGCCATGGTTTTGAACTATTAGAATAAATACCCGCAATATTTATCCAAAACTTTGGAGTAGGGTCCGTATCAGGCTCAATCCAAGCAGGTTTCTCCTTTCAAATCTTGCATCTTAGAACAGCATATAGTTTTACTGAACAGAGAGACTGTAGATTTGCTGGACCTCATCACTTTATTACAGTACGGAGGCAGTGTTGGGAAAAGAGGGTTAATTTAACCAAACTTTTACAAAGGTTTGAATTAGAGTTGGGAGCCATTTCTTCTTACTCTGTAAGAACCAGTTAATCCATCCCTATTCTAAATCCCCTTTCAGATCATCACTGAGATTGTCAAATGTATGTGTTTAAAAGGCCTGTTCCTTTGTTACTGTGGATCTCGTGGGGAATGTTTAGGGCCATAAATCCAGTTAAATGATTAAGCGTTCAAATAACTTCTGTAACTTGTAAATGGAGGTTTATTTTTTCATTTATATCGTCTTCTTTTTTTGGTCAGGTCTGCACATTAACAAAAGAAGATAACCGTTCAGTGGGGGTGATACCGAATGATGAACAGCTACATGTGTTGCCTCTTTACAAAATTTCACAGACAGATGAATTTGGAACCGAGGAAGGACTGGAAGCTAAGATAAAAGCAGGAGCAATACAGGTGCTTACTGCTTTTCCCAGAGAAGTACGGATGTTAGCTGAGCCACTTAGAGCTACAAAGAAAAAGAAGCCAGATACAAAGAAGACACAAGTTGAAAAGCAGACATTAGCGGATAAGAAATATTCAACACCAGCAAAGCTGAAAAATGGAGCTCCTGAAAATCTTGGTAAAACTTCACAGTATTTAGGTAAGTGACACTTATATTGTGCTATGTGTCTTATCCCATTTACAAAACCAGTTGCCTCCTCAGCATTCACTTTTTTAGAAATATTTGCATATCACACCTTTTACAGAGTTGCGAAGGAGTCACTATATTCAGATATTTTTGCAGAAGGGAGCAGGTGATCACACAAAAACTTATGCATAGTTTTTACTATATTGTAAAAATTATAGATAATGATATGGTGACAATGGAAAGATTTCAGAGATTGCTTATTCTAATAATGACCATAGGAAGATCTTGAAATGTTACTTCGGGGCAAGTTCTCTAAATGTCAGTCATTTATACAAAGAAGTACAAGGACTGTTTCTCCACATTTTGTGTGGCAGTTTGTTTGTGATGTTTTTCTCTTCATAAGGAGTATGAATTGACTATAGTTTTCTTATTTGCATCACTTTGGTTATATGGATGGTGCAACAAAGCAAGTGAGTTGCAAAAAGAAGTCAATTTTATCAAATTAAAGGTAAAAGTTGTTTTAATATTTCTCATTCTCATTTTTTCCTTTAAATACTGAGAGTAAGGGAGGGAGTGGCAGAATCTGATACTGGCTGAATAAAGCACACTTAGATTTTGCTTTGTATTATAAAGAGATACAGATGAGCACATCTCTTTCTTGGGAATCTCTGATCTCACTTTCTGTATTGTAAATGTGGCATAACTCCACTACACTCTAAGTTACTTTAGATTTACACTGCTGTATCTGAGATCACAATTTGATACTGAAACTCCCCAGCCACAAGGAGTGGAACCCTGAGGTAGAGGACACTGAGGGAAATATATTCAGAGGACTCAACGCACTGCATAAAGCAAGCCACAAAAGACGATGCTCTATCCCCAACCAGGTGATAATACCTACCAAGCGGGCCAGAAAGGCTAAAAAAAAATCCGAAAATAGCAAAAAGGAAAGAAAAAATCATAAAAAAAATCTAAGAGGTAGTTATCCTCTGATGAAGGGTACATCTACACTGCAATAAAAACCCACGACATCAAGCCTGAGAGTCTGGGTCAACTGACTTAGGCTCAGAGGACTCAGGCTGCAGGGCTAAAAATTGCAGTGCAGGCACCCAAACTCAGGCTGGAGTCTGGGCTCTGAGCGTCTGGCTACACTGCAATAAAACATCTGTGGCTGGCCCATGTCAGCTGATTCAGGCTCATGGGCCTATAAAATTGTAATGTAGACTTTTGGGCTCAGGCTAGAGACTGGGCTCTGGGACCCTCCCGAGCCCCATGAGCCCAAAGCAGCTGACATGGGCCAGTTGTGGGTGTTTTATTGCAGTGTAGATGTACCCTCAGACACCTCCTCCTCCGAGGAAGGTAGCTCTCAGATTCAGGTTCTGAGCAGGATACAGAAAAAATGCAACAAAGGTGGTGGGGGTGGGGTGTGGGGAGGGTGGGGATTGCCCTGAAGTGTTTGAAACCATGTGCAAAAAGGCTGCATCTACAATCCAGATCCAACCTGAGCAGGTGCTAGTGGACAAACCTAAAGGCCATCTAAATCTTCACCAGAGACAGCAATCCCATCAAACATGAGTGAGTGTTAAACAAAATATTGCATCTCCTGGACACAGGAGAATATATAAAAGGTTCCCTGTGAAGAAAGATTCTTAGGACTATACTCCATTTTCTTGATTGTCCAGAAGTGTACAAGGTGGAGGGATGGGGGTGTCGAGCAATCTGCGATCTCAAGCAGCTCAACAAGTGGATGAAAAATACTAGATTCCAGATGGAGACCCTAGCTTCAACAGTAGCATCCCTGTCTCAAAGGGGACTTCCTTGCTTTGTGGATTTAACAGATGTGTATCTCCACATTCCCATGTGACCAGGCCTTTGCAGACTGCTGAGATTTGCATATGGCACAGTCCACTATCAGTACCAAACTCTCTCATTTGGCTTTCATTGGACCCAGGCTCAGGGTCTTTACAAAGGTGCTGGTGGTAATAATAGATAGACTCAGGTCTCACAGCACTCACCTGTATTCCTTCCTAGAACACATCAGGATTAGAGCTCCAACCCAAGCAGCACCACAGAGTGCCACAATTCGGACACTGGATCTACTTCAAGCACACGGATTTGTGGTAAATACCAAGAGCAGTTCCTTGACTCCCTCCACAAAGATAGTTCACTTGGGAATTGAAATTGACACTTCTGTGCCAAAGGTCTATCCATCACTGGACAGATTCCACAAGATCCAGAACCTGATACCCGTCTTGGTAAAGTGAACAAGATTGGCCATAGCTCAGTGTCTACAGCTACTGGGCCTCCTGGTTTTGTGGAATCACCCCATGAGTGAGATCCCATATCAAATGTCTGCAGATTTTTCTTCTGAAAGTATGGAGCCATTCACCAGCATGCATGCAGGATTGAGTACTGGTCCCAAATTGAGTACTGGATTCTCTAAGATGGTGGACAGACCTACAGAATGTCCACAAGGATTTTTCCACATGCCTTCCAGACTCACAGGTACTCACAACCAATGCCAGCTTGACAGGATAGGGAGCATATCTCAGGCACAAGACAGTGCAGAATACCTGGAACTCCAGAGAAAGGTACTAGAACATGAATCCGTTGGAACTCGTAGCTATCAAGCTAGCCCTGTGAAAGTTCCTGGACTGCCTAAAGGGTGAACATGTTCTATTCAAGTCAGACAACATGACTACTGTGGTTGTATATCAGCAGCCGCAGGGAAACAAGGAGTGTAACTGTACACACAGAAGCAGTGGAGATAATGGAATGGGCAGAGAGGACTCTCCCTTCCATAAGAGCAAGACACCTAAAAGGAGAACTGAATCAAAATCAGATTGGCTCAACAGATGCACAGCTCAGAATGGTGCCTAAATCAGGAAGTCTTCACTGTGATTTTGCAGTTCGGCCTTCTGGCAGTCAACCTGTTCAGCAATCGCAAGAACAAAGGGCAGTTGAAGTTCTTCACCACGGAAGCAGATCCCAAATCCCTGGGGATTGATGCTCTTTCACAGAGATGGCCACAAGGCCTGCTATACAGATTCCTTGCCTTTCCACTTCTAGAAAAGATGATCCAGAAGATAAAGCGAGAAGGCGCAAAGGTTACAGTGCTAGCTCTGCACTGGCAAAGGAGACCAGAGTTATCCAGTCAGATAGAACTGAAATTGGAAACACCATTGCAGCTAGAGGTGAGACCAGACATCCTTTAGCAAGGCTCATTCCTCCGTCCAGACCCAGACTGTCCACATCTGACAGCCTGGCTATTGAGAGGGAAATGTTAGCCGTGCTAGACTATCCTCCCAAGTGATTGGAACTCTGCACTCCTCAGGCAAGCTCAGTTGCACAATGGGTTAGTGGACTTTCTGTCCTCCACAGAGGCCTCTTTTGGTAGAAAGGTGCTGCAAACGGTGGTCCAGTAATACCACTAGCATTTTGGCAATTAACCCGGGGTGGGGGGAGGTGTCTTCCCTATCTCATTCTGTTTTTCTTATTCCTCCCTAGTTCTGTTCACTGCTTGATACTTCCGATACATATCGAAATGGGAGATGCTGGGCTGCAGAATAATCAATTTCTTACCTGATAATTTCCTTTCTGCTAGCAGCATCTCCCACAATTCTACCCTCCCTGGATGGCTTCCGAGTCACGGAACAGTATTTAATTTGGATAGTTATGCTTGTAGACCATAGTCTACTGTACAGTTTATTGGTTAGCATTGACGTTATTGTTATTAGTTGTATTTACACGTTTTTGCATAGCTTTGGCATGAATCATCTGGCAGCTGGCTAGAGAAGGAGGGTGGCTAGCATGGGCTGTGCTACAGCTTTGAACTGCCTCTGGAAACTGCACTGGAGGGGAATAGCCCATATGTAACAGCGTCTTCCACAATTCTGATAGCAGACAGGAATTTATCAGCTAAGAAATTTACCAATCCTCACCTGAAATATTGTGTTTAGTTTTGATCACACAGTTTAAAAAAAGATATAGCAGAAATGGAAGGGGTTCAGAGACAGGGAATTAGAAAATTATTAGAAACATGGAAAAACGTCCCCATGAGAAGATAGCAAGGATTGGCTCTGTAGTTTAGAGAAGTGACATGACAAGAGCTAGACAAAACAATGAATGTTACAAAGCAAGCAGCTCAGGTACTCCTGTTTAATGTTTCTCATAATATAAGAACAGAGGGACATTTAATTAAATTGAAAGGTAGCAAGTCCAAAACTAATAAAAGGAAATACTTTTTTACATAATGTATAGTTAACTTATGGAATTCCTTGCTTCAAGGTATCATTGAGGACAAGATCTTAGTCAGTTTAAAAGGATTAAAAATTGATATGGAAAATGAAAACAGCCATTATTACATTAGATGGGATAAGCATTTTATCTAAAAGATACAAACTCTCATGTTTCAGGACACATGAGGCTGACAATTAACAGAAGATGGTACAAGGGTTAGGAAGAAATCCTCCCTGCCCACAAGTTGGAGAAATAGGGAGTAACCTTTTCACCATTCTCTCCCACTATCAAGTAGTTGCCACTGTCAGGAACAGGTTATTGGACTAAATGAATCACTTCTCTGATCTGATACGGCAATTTCTATGTTCCTAAAAAAATTAAGGAGAGTCCCTGAAGCTTGGCACTAAAAATTACACTCTTTCCCTAGAGAGATTTTAATATACCTGCTGGATCATTTTTCCTGATGAGTACATTGGATTATTTCATTGGTTACTTAGTTGGTAGTTTGGTTTTAGACTAATTATTTTACATTTTTCTACCTTACTTTAAACTGCATTAGCCATCTGCTGGCCCAGCTGCCTAGTAAATACAAATCCTTTGGAACATGGTTACCTTTTTCCTTATTAAATTTGTCCCCAGTTTTAGTTTTGTCCACAAATTTGATGATCTTGTTTTTGATGGTTTCCCAGGTCATTTATATGTTATGTACAAAAGGTATCCTCCAACTGACCGTGGAAGTGCCACCACACTTGTAATCACTACAACTACTCTTTCTCTCCAGCACCCTATTTTATTTCCAGTTTTCTGATATTTTACTGTAGGTTATACTTCAGAAATTAACTGCTTTCTCAAATACTTTTTGACATCTGTTATTAATCCTGTGACTCTCCCGTTTCTATCTGTCAGCAATATCTTCAAAGAACTTCAGCAGTGTTAAAGGTAGCTGTATATCCAAATTTGTCCACTTTAATTTTAAGAAAACTATATGAATACATTATTAAAGAAGCATTTAATTAAGTTATGTTTATATAGCGAGGAAGTTCCATTTCCACTTCACACTATGATTTGCCTATAAAAATCAAGGGCTGGATTCCTTAATGCAGATGAGCTGTACATTGAGCAGTCAGATGGTGAGGAATGGGAAGGGTAAAGATAGCTTTAAGCAACCATTATACTCTCTTATTTATGGGGTTGGCTTGGGACTGGGCTGGTGTCTGATACACACTAGAGTTCTGTGAAGGCTGTTCAAACTTATGCCTGGTTGCCCCTGGTTCCCACAGCCAGGGATCAATGAAGTGCTCAGGCCACACACCCTATGCCAGTGGCTGAGCAGGGAAGGATTTAGCCTCCCCAACAGCACAGCTATGCAACTAGAAGATTCGGAAAGACAGTTAAGGTAGTTTTAGGATGCTGTGCAGGACTGGAGCAACAACAAAGCAGTTTGATCATACTGTTTAATTGGGCTCCAAGAGTACAGTATGTTATTAGAATCAAAGCTAGAGGAAAAATTGAAAAGAACTGGGAAGTGATTAATCAAAGGAGCCAGAGAATGGAAGTAAGCCAGCTACAGACTTTGGAAGCTGGTTAATATTGCTCTTTCACTTAATTGCTGCTAGATATTCAACTGCAGCCAGCTGGAAGCAAAATGAAGCCACAGCATAATTCAGTCATGTAAAAGAATATGGGATGTATTCACCAGCCCCCACTGGTTGCACAGAACTTGAATGTTTTGACCTTTAGCTCATCTACGAGGCCCATCTCTTTTCCTGGGCTTTTTTTCTAACCAGGTGAGTTGAGGGATATATGTGGTGTCTATTGTGAGAGGCTTCTTTTTATAGTGGATTGTTTTTAGAGAATTTATAATCTGTGAATTGAAGTCAATTTGGATGCACAAATTACTATTGCCACCCTTACTTCTGCACTGCCTTCAGCGCTGGGAGGCTAGAGAGTGGTGGCTGCTGGCCAGGCATCCAGCTCTGAAGGCAGCACCCTGCCAGCAGCAGTGCAGAAGTAAGGGTGGCAATACCACATCATGCCATCCTTGCATGCCATACCATCGCTCACTGCTGCCTGCACCAGGCCCCCCGCTAATCCCCCTGGACCCCACATCCCCCTGAAGCATGAGGCCCCCCAAAGCGTGGGGCCCAGGCCAGTTGCCCCGGTCCATCCTATGGACGGGACGGCTCTGCTTGGACCCGTTCTGGGCACCACCAAAAATTATACAAACCTAGCGCCTATGCCCTTAACTCCATTTAGCAAAGGCCTTTTCTTTTTGGTTTGGGAATACAATTCTTCAAAGTCTTTAGACTTCTTGGTCTTAGAATACAATACTCTGACTTTATTTTATGCTACTTATAATCAGAGTCCCACTTGATCATATTTATTTCAGTTTTTTTAGTCCTTTACTCCCTTCTTTCTTCATTAAGTAAATCACTATAAACCTTTTATGGGGAAAATGAATGGTAAATAGTACAGTACTTTTTTCAAGTGTTTATTAAACCATTAAGATTAAAGTTCCCCTTTGATCTTAGCGCTACTTTTTTTTTCCACTGGAGTACCCACAAATAGCTCATAATACATCTTCTCTTCCTATTATAAAATGTATTCCTGCTACTGAAGTGCCCATGGAGTGATCATGACAAATTTTTCAATCAGATAAAATTTGCATTTTTTAAATAATATATGGAGATATACCTATCTCATAGAACTGGAAGGGACCCTGAAAGATCATTGAGTCCAGCCCCCTGCCTTCACTAGCAGGACCAAGTACTGATTTTGCCCCAGATCCCTAAATGGCCCCCTCAAGGATTGAGCTCACAACCCTGGGTTTAGCAGGCTAATGCTCAAACCACTGAGCTATCCCTCCCCTTTTTTTTAATATTGTGGTAGCAGAAGCAGATTGAGTGAACTTTGTTAAGCACATACTTTGCTCAACTGAGACCCTAAATTATTGTCGCTTGTTTTTATGCTGATGAGGAAGAGCTTTTTTCAACCCTCAGGCCACAGGCACCGGCTTCCAACTTTCCCTGGGAGTGCTCAACCCCCACTCAGCCCCAGACCCCATTCCCACTCCACTCCACCGCTTCCCCCAAACCCCAACCCCACCTCTTCCCGCTCAGTTCTGTCCCCTCCCCGGAGCACACGGCATCCCCAATTCTCCCCCTCCCTCCCAATGCCTCCTGTATGCTGCGGAACAGCAGATCCGCGGCAGGCAGGAGGCACTGGGAGGGAGGGGGAGGAGTAGATAGGTGGGGCCACCAACAGGCGGGAGGTGATGGGGGGGATGAGGAAGGGAGGGGAGCTTGGCTGCCAGTGGGTACTAAGCACCCGCTAATTTTTTTCTGTGGGTGCTCCAGCCTTGTAGCACCCATGGAGTTGGCGCCTATGTCTCAGGCCATGTTTCGGGTGCTGCTTTGAGCAGGTACAGCATGCATGCAGCATTGATATATAGTGACTGGCTCTGGGGAGTCCTTTGTGGATGACTGAGTATTAAATGAGGTTTTCTCCTCTCTAACCCCTGCAAATACCTTACACCTCCTGATCTGAGTACCTCTATACTTTAAAAACTTTTGTGCTTGGGAAAAATGCCCATTTTCACAGCCCTTGAAATCATATATGCACAGAATAAGTACAAGAAAGGTACACTTAGTAATTTCTGTGTATCTAATAGTTTTGAATTAACTTTTCAGGCTCCTTTGTAATATTTTTTTCTTCCAGTCATAACCATCTCTTGTCTCTTTTGTTTTGGTTTTATTTTCAGAGGAGTTTGTAGCTCCACATATTACAAGATCTACAAAAAAATATGTTTTTGTGTTTCTCTGCTTGAATATGGATATTCTCTAGGTGGAAAATATTAACTTCTACCACTATGTCAAATGTAGTCTCAACATGCACAGTTGCCTTTTCAACTGGAGTTCACTGCCAGGTGACTAAGAATATATACTAGTAACCACCAAGCAATGTCAAATTCTTTCCAGCAACTGGGGCATTTAATTGTGATTCTTCTGTCTTTACTAAGCTTAAATGTATTTTTGTTTCTCTCTTGATTTTATGGTATGTACCCATCATGTCACTCAGATTCCATTTTAATTACTAGGCTAAACTTACTGTGTTACATTTTTAGGAAGGCATCTGTATTGTTTTTAAGTAAATTACTAATGTAGTTTTATGTTGTATTTCATTGAGGGGGTCTTTAAAAGAAAAGAACTATAAGATTTTTAATACTCAGAAATGTCAATCTAGATAAGTAACCTCCATAAATTAAATCACCTATGTACTAATTGGATTATGTGTTGACTGCACCTCAGTTTCCTTTTCTTTCATTTTAGTTAGGCATATATGTATCACCATCTACTAAAGGGAATACTACTTCTATAGTTAGTATTCATTAGACAGATATTTGAGCTTCCATATATTTATGGGGCACAGAAGAAACTTCTTGAGAACCTGTCTTTTACGAAAATGTTCAAGAATTCTCTATGGCATGCCAGTTTGTCAGTAAGGCAGCCATTAAACAATTCCAGGTCCTGATCCAAAGCCCATCAAAGCTAATGGGAGTCTCTCCTATGACTTTAGCTCAAACTCTTATTTATTACAAGAACAAGCCATCTGAGGAGGGCACCGCACGAAAGTGCACAATTTGCAACAGGTCAAGAAAGACTATCTATGACTAAAGAACAGACAAAAATTGAGCCCAATATGTTTCAGACAAAATTTGGAACCACTTTAGTCTTTGGCAAACAAACAGAAGAATACAGCCAAATCAGTTGTTGCCACTCTGCAAAAATGGATTTACCTGGATCATATCTTCAGATGAATCCACTGAACTGTGTGAATAATAATCTGCTATTTAATTAAGCAGTTATTGTAATAGAGGAAGGTTTTTTTGTTGAATTGGAAACAAGCTAAAATAAACATGTTCTTGGATCATAATTTGGGGTAAAACAGTCACTGAATTATGATAGTTCTAGATATGGCGCTTATTTGATAAAAGAATATTTTACTGAGGGATGAATAAAATAATGTAGGCAAGATCTTTATGCACGTTTTCTGTTTTATATACTGGCATTGACCAGTCTATAATGAAGTGATTAAGACAGTAATTCAGCAAATACTCATGCATGCCTTAAAGTTATACAAATAGTCCCATAAATTTGATCATTTTGAAAAAAATGCAGTCACTGTCCATATCTTCCAAATTATAGAACAAGTGGGGAACATCACTGTAATAGCTATATTTTGAATAACTGAACAAGGAAAAGATACTTACATTTTGGTATGCATTTTTTTTTTTTTTAGGGAACAAAACAGATGCTTTTCAACCTGGAATAAAAATGGAGCCTTCAGATCATCTTTATGCCCTGAAACATACTTCAAATGCTACTAAAAGTTGCTCTGTATTAAAACAATATACTGCTTCCTCCCCTTTTAAGGTGGATAGTTTACATCCTTATTCATCATTAACACATAAGCCTAGCATAACAGCAATGACTGATATTCAACAAGATTTTTCAGTTCCCTACGGGTATTTTGAATGCAGTAGTAAGCAACCTCATGTCACACCTTATATTAAATGTAAGAATTTTGATGTGTCAGTTAAAGATTATACTGGAATTTTGCTGAACGAAAAGAGGAATGGTGTGCCACCAATTCTTCCAGATATTACTGTTTCAGACCACCCAACCCTTAAAGACCCCCTGCACAGTATACTTGAACACCAACCAGACAACAAGCAAAATTGTCAACTTCAATTAGAAAATGCTCCTTCGCAGTCGATCAACCCTTGTGATATGTCAGTACCATTAAACTCTCCAGCAAAGAATGTAACCAGAAATGAAGCTAACACATCTCATAACTGTCCAGTGGAAAAAGGTGGCTCCCATCAAGAACAGATTTGTGATTCCAAAGCTAGTGATGAAAAGCAAAAAAATGTGCTGGCAGAACCAATGGATTCTGAAGAAAAAGCTGAGGAAATGTGGTCAGACAGTGAGCACAATTTTTTGGACAATGATATTGGTGGTGTTGCTGTGGCACCTTCTCATGGTTCTATCTTAATTGAATGTGCAAGACGTGAACTCCATGCCACAACACCCATTAAGAAACCAAACCGCAGTCATCCCACACGAATCTCTTTAGTCTTCTACCAACACAAAAATTTAAATGAGCCAAAACATGGATTAGCAATGTGGGAAGCAAAGATGGCTGAGAGAGCAAAAGAGAAGGAAAAAGAAGCAGAAAGATTAGGGACTGAAAACACTGAACTAAAATCTAGCAGCAGGAAAACCAAGCAGAGCAGTGAAACCAGAGAGATTTTCTATGAAGAAAATGAGTTCAACCAAATTCCATCACGCAGAGCATTAACAGTAACTCAAGATAATGTAATAACAGTGTCTTCTTATGCCCTCACTCGAGTTGCAGGGCCCTATAACCATTGGGCATAGGTTTTAGTAGCTGATGCCTTGCCTTGGTGCAGTGTTATACAGTATTTCTTTAAGGTGCTGTTAAAGAACAGAGTCATGTGTAGTTTACTATTTGTTCATCTCAACCATTTTAAGGCTGAGGTAAAAATGGGGATTTATCTTAAACTGTGACTTTATATTTTAACATTTGGTGGTGCTTGAGCACATTTTAAGCAAAAAAAAATTGTATAGTTTTAATATGTTATAAAAGAAGATTTTGGTTAGGTTATTAACCTTGATTGAATCATTCAGTTTATTACCTTTAGGAAATTATATTTTGGTGCTTTAAATCAAATCTGTTTACTACAGAACAAGTCATTTATAGGGATTTTAACAGATTCACATTTTATGATGTAAAATCAAGTTATACAGTGATTGCTCTACACAGCTCTTGGTGCTTAACCACATCAAACAGTAAAAATAAGCTGAATTATTACTTCATGGTGCCATTGTTCCAACAACTTCCAATCATTGCTAAAAAGTCCAAATTACAGATAAACCTTTTAAGAGAACCAATGAAATTTTCTCTCTCTAGAGTTTTCAGAGTGTAAAAAATGAAGTTATCACTAGTGATGGCTGGAAGTTGTTTGTAAGCTGTAAATATATATTTTAAAAGCACTTTCTATTTTTAAAATTAACTTGAACTAGTATAGTATAAGGATCATATTGTCTAAGGTTTGTGCATACTCTACAGAAGAAATCATTTTGTTCTTGCTGTGTAGATTTCCATACTGTTACAATTTCAATATGTATGCTAATAACATATGTGATTGTTTTTAGACTTTCCCTTTTTCCATTGAAGATTTTTATGTTACATATAAACAGAAGAGTAATAAAATGCAGAAACTTTTAATTATTTACAAATATGGAATGAAGAAACATCTTGTCAATGTGTGTTGCTATTGGGAATTAAATAATTAATTTTTAAGACAGAAATTATTATGATTTATTTGAGCAATAAGCACATTAGTCTCACTCATCTAAACCATTGCAAGTTATGTGACACAACCAAATGTTCCTAATGCCTCAGGGGTAGGATCGTTTTGGGATTTAAAAAAAAAAAAATACCCCCTAGAGTTGCCTTACTCTGTTCAGAAAAAAAGTTATAAAAATGACAAATTAATTTTTAAAAAAGTAAGAAATTTTCAATATCTAATGATTAACAGCAATTTTTAGTTGATAATTCCCTTCCAGAATGTTCACTAGCTAATAAGAATGCTTTTTCAGTTCAGTTTTTTTAGAAGCATGCTTTGTATCATTTTTAACAATGATTTATACATTTCATATGGAAACAGTTGTTAGTTCCAAACATTTGAATTTATGTTCTGCATTTCAGTTGGAAAATTGACACATCACCAAATGATTATGGTTACATTTTGCTAAATGAGGAAAAGTAGACACTCCATTCATAAATAATGTAGCATCCATCCCACTCTTCTTTCTCTGATTCTCCTCTCCTCCTCATTTCTGTTTTATTATTTATTTATTGAATCATCTAATCACCAAACAAAAAAGTTGTTTAAGTAAGGACCTTGTCCTGCAAGCCTTACTCACCTTCTCAATCCAATTAAAATTAGTGGGACTACCCAAGTAAGGCCAACTCTTGTGTATAATGGTTGTGGGATGAGATCCTACGGGTCAAGCTCTACCTTAATTTTACCTGTGAATCCTCACAGTTTATGTAACCCCATAGATGTAACTGAGGTTAGTATTTTCTATTGAGAACTTATACCAATAATATACTTGATAATACTATAATGCAGTGGTGCTGTAACAAAAGTAATCTGAAATGTCTAGATCCACTTTATCTAATACCTAGACAAGGTGCTTTTTTCTTGAAACGTTCTATAATAATTGTGATATTTACAGTTTTGGTACAAAGAATATGTGAATTTTATTTTGTACACACAGTGCTAACTAGAACCCTGATCCTGAAAATATTTACACGTAGGAGCAGTTCCAATGATATTGGGCTAAATCTAAAATTCTTATGTAGACTGACTATTGAAATTAACAGGAATTTTGTTGGCATAAGGACAGGAGGATTGGACCCATTCTTTGTATTTTATCTAGCTCAAAGTAAAGTTTGTGAAAACCCCATATGCTGCAAATTTTAGTTTAAAACCTGTTAGTTCAAGTACAGGATATGAAGGGATTATAAATAATAAAGTCAATATTATGCCATCATTTTGTACCATCAGTTTTCTGCTTCTTGAATATGTAAAGCACAGTATACATTAAATCATTATGGTATTTTGTGTGCCTTAGATTTCCATTTTAAAACTTGTCTATTTTTTGTGAGGCTAAGATATAGTAAAAACTACAGCTGTATATACAGTAAGTAGTATTCTAAGTTGCTCCAGCTGCTCCAACAACATATTTGCTATCTGAGTACCCTTGTTTAGCATCATGGTCAGTTATCTACCAGAAGGATTACTTTGCTACTAGTAAGTGTCACTGATAGATTTAGACACATGTTAGCTTCAAATAATTTCACTATGCCATACGCATGTCTAGTGCAGAATGAAGGAATTATTTATTTCTCAGCAATTCTACTAAATACCATTTTTATTTCAAATTTAGTAGGAAAAGTTTCAGGGCCGTTATTCTGCTTACAAGAAATTCAAGAAATATTAAAATGGCTGGAATTTCCATTTGAATCCTTTCAGACCTTTAGGCTTGTATGTGATTAGGCAGTTCAAATGCTAAAAACAATTAATAGAGAAAACAGCAGCTTCCTCAAATAGCTGGGAAGCAGAATTGGTGCATCTTAAATGGCATCTTTAAGTATGGTTGTCTTCTCAGTTGACTATCAGTAGGGACTCAGCAAGTCCAACAGGGAAATCCAGCCCTAATAGATTCATAATGGCAATGTTAAAAGAGAACTGTATGTCTTAACATAACAACAGATATTCATGTTATTAATTGATAGCTGAGAAAACCCTCAGGACTTCTTTATTAAGGTTATTGATACAGCTAAAATATACTGTCCAAACAAAATTATATTGTCTTTACAATGTATAATAAATTTCTAACATGACATTTTGGTAAATCATACCTAATAAGAAAATTAGCTGGCCAAGTTTTATTTCCTGATGTGGCGCTTAGCAGATTGTGATCTGAAAAGCAAATATTTTCTAGTAAATATACTGCAATATGAGAAATACATCTATTTACTGTATTTACAACTGTGTGCTATTTATTGTAACATTTCAGAATATTTATCAGTCTTGTGCACACAGATCAATGTTGTATTGAGTAAGGTTGTACTTGCAACAATATTGTCCTCTTAAAAGTTACAAATTTTAGAAAGTGACTCTTTCCCTTCCATCCCACACAACTGCTCTATGACTTCCTCTTACCCTCATAGACTTTAAGGTCAGAAAGGACCATCATGATCATCTAGTCTGACCTCCTGCACATTGCAGCAGCAGGATCCTTCCAGATTAGCCAGCTAGGTCAGGAACCACATCTAAAGACAAGACAGCTAGGAAAAACTGTATACTTCCCTTGATCTGTAAAAAACTTATATTGATTTCAATAGGAGTTTATGCTCATAGACAGACAGCACTATAGGGCTCCAAGTCTGTAACTCAGAGTTGACGACAGTTTGTTCTCTCTCCCCCCCACCACCTTTTATATCACCTCACAGTATACCACCACCGACTGTTGCCACACAACATAGCAACCTTTTATTTTCTAGCAGGAATGTCCCTATACCCTCCCTCTAATAGGCCCTGCCCCATCACACCACCTCATTTTGGAGGAAAGGAGTGATGCTCTCTAGAGAATATCATTCCTGTTGGACTCTCAGGGGGCCACTGTTGCAGTAGTACAATAGCTCCCGTTGAAATTGTGAGTGTCACCACTGCAATTCTCCTGCACATGCTGATCCAAGGAATGAGGTACCAAGCTGGGATCTGACACTTAGAACCCACAGATAGTAGCAGAGAGTATGACTATAAGGCCATATGACCAGCTCACCTCAAATATTGTAATAATACTGTACAAAACTCATACAAAGACTAATTGCTCATAAGCTACAATTAAGATGTGATCATATCTTTCTGCAAATAATCCTAATTTTATAAGTCAATGTTTTGTATTTACAGTGACCACCATTAGAACAAAGTCATGCTTAGTTACCAGAATGTGTCCCTATGCTTAAAATAGGAAATAACTCTAGTATCTGAAGTAACATGGTGTGATAACTGTAGGTAAATGGCAACTTTTTAATGCTTACTAGTATAGATAATACACAATTGTTTTCTCCTTTAAAAACCTTTCAAACACCATTACAGTATTATGCTAACTTTAGTGGGTCAAATTCTACTCTCATTCACATCTGTACAACCCCACTGCAGTTAGTGGAGCTCTGCAGATGCAAGTGCAGTAGGATTTGGGCCAATATGTTAATATGCTTCTAGTTAAATGTAGAATTTTTAGGAAAGCTTGTTAACAAAATTGTATTTGCATTTTTATATTTAAAATGTAGGGCACAGTCCTACCTTAAATTACACAGGGGAAGATCAATATGACTCTGTGTGAAATCAGCTACCTGGTCAGGCCAAGTGATAAAATATGCTTTCTAATTTACAGGCTGCATAAATATCTCATTTCTTCTCAAATTTGCACAGAAATACTTGTATTATGGACACCTACTCCCTCCCAATATTTTAAAAATTAATGTATATGCCATTTTTCAGCCTATTTACATGTATCAACATTTGTGATATTCATGCAGTATTAAATGAATGGCCTCTCACATCCACTGTGGCAGTTAAAATAGCATTTCTTCAGTAGTGAGATCTTTGTGGCAGGTCTTTGCAGTAAAATTGTCGTCGTGTTTTATTTCTTACGTATGGAAGAGTTGGCTGGCTAACCATAACACATTATGAAAGCCCTTGATCACGCGTTGTGAAATTATAGATGAGTAATAGGCCAATCACATATGGAAACTGTTTTTTAATTTAACCAAGTGGCTGTTCAACCAGTAACAGCTATAAGGCCACTTTATCATCAAAAAGTAAAGTGCAAAGAAACACAATAATTGTGTTATGACATTCTGGCATTGCCTTGCAATCTCTGATAGGGATATGTCATCACATCATGTCACTGTGTACTGATGTATGTTAATTCCATTCCTCCACTTCCTCTTGCGGAATCAATTTCTTCTCTATTCTCTCTGCCCCAATCTGTATCGGCCTCTGGAAGAAGAGAGGTCACTCTTACTTTGATCTGCCGGATACATGTACCCTGGACAGAGATGTGAGCACTGCTATAATTGCTCACTCTGCCTCAGATCCAGATAGAGCAAGTGGAGGACTAATCGGATATATGAAGCCCAAAATAGTTATAAACCAGGCTATGAAGAACCGCATGCATCTTGTGAGCCCTGACTTGAGTTGCTCCTTAAGCCGTTTCTTGGTTGCCTAGGTACTGTATAGCCATATCACCACTGTTTATTTAGATATATCAAATTTTAAATACACAATCTTTTTTTAGTAGTGTGTAAAACTATGGCACATTTATATCCATCTCTTCCTTTTTAATCTTATGTTAGAAGCATGGTCAGTGTAAAAAGTACTGAGATTTTGATTGCTCAGTATTTTAGTGGAGTATAAGTGAAACCACAGATCAGAGTTTTCTGGGATTACCTGATATTTTAGACAAATTGTCTTGAATTATATTGTTTATATGGTACTGATGTATGCTGCTGTAAAAACTATATGAATGCTATTCTCCTGGGACTCTGACAGAGGAGAGACGTGTATCACTTGAGGCTATCCCAGGGACCAAAAAATCTCTAATAATATTTAATTGGGCACAAGTATGTAGAAGATTAGGAATAGCCTCTAAATATTATGGGCCAGATTCTGATTTGTTACACTCAGGTACATCCAGAGTAACTCTACTGAAGTCAGTGGAGTTACTCCATAGATATGCAGGTGTTACTGAGATCAGACTCTGTCCATGCTAGCGATTGCCTCTTTCCTTCTATGGATGATTCAAAGTTAGTACTCACTTCATGTTAACTTTATCATTATATTAAAATATTGTAGATGTTTCAGAGGAGTTAGTTAAATGTTTCATTTGAGTGTAATATTTAAGTGTCATTTGTGTGCTGCTTTGTTTTCTAAAGAATGGAGATAATTCTCAGTGTATACTATATCTTCTCCCTCTAGTTTCAGAGTAGCAGCCGTGTTAGTCTGTATCTGCAAAAAGAAGAACAGGAGGACTTGTGGCACCTTAGAGACTAACAAATTTATTAGAGCATAAGCTTTCGTGGCCTACACCATATGCTTCCGAAGAAGTGGGCTGTAGTCGACGAAAGCTTATGCTCTAATAAATTTGTTAGTCTCTAAGGTGCCACAAGTACTCCTGTTCTTCTTTCTCCCTCTAGGACATTTTATTTGCTAGCTTCAACCCTAGGCATTAACTTCTGTTCTGTATAGATGACACTGAACTCTACAACTCGCTCAGTTCATGCTTTGATTCCTTTGTAGCTCATCTGCTGTATTTACCCCTTTTGTCTGTCAGTGCTTGGTGACCCTATAGCCTTCTGCTGTTGAATGCTTTAAAGACTTATAATTTCCTGCATACAAGTCTTCTAATTGTCTTTAACACAGACCTTTGCTCCCAAGGGTAGCAATGTAAGCGTCAGCCTTGCCTCCTGACTTTTGTTTTTTAATCTCTCCTCTCCCTTGTCTGTAAATCTGTTTATCTCCACCTCTCAAATTTTACAAGAATTTATTATTAATGTAACTCTTTCAAAATCTATATTCACGTCAATCATTTTCTGTCTTAACTCTGATAGTTCCCTTTTTGATCATCCTGTTATAGCCTTACTCTGCCATGGAGTCCAGAATGCTGCAGTTAAATTACTTTTTCATTACAAGAAAAAGGGGCATTTCAGTCCATCCCTTCACCTTCACTATCAATCTTCATATCCACTTGTAAACTGCCCATTTATTTTTCAAAATTATCCATAAACTTTTGGCATTCTACCTGTCTGACCCTCTATCCACATATGGTCAACAAAGTCCATTTTGCCCCCAGTCTCAGCTCTCCACAGCTGAAGATCATTCTTTGCTTGTACTGCTGTATCTCTGGCATTCTGTCCTTCCTTCTGTATGATTTACTCTGTTCAGATCTTAACATAACAGATAAGATTATGACTGTCCCTGCAAAGACCCACAAGCAGGAGATGGTGCTTCTTTGTGTCTTCTATTTGTCCCTGTGCAGGGATCAGCCGTAGTCCCAGTGGGAAGTTCAAGGACTGCATAAAGTTAGTGCCACCACTGGCACTAGACTCTCCAAAGAGGAGTGGAGTTATGGATTTGCCTTTTCTTGGGGTGATTTGGCTTGAGCAGGAAGGAGTTGAACATAAACTGCACTCTGTGAAAGGGTGTAGGGGTTCCAGTTTTGCTGTGTGCTTCTCCACTCTGTTACAATTCTCTTTGGGACTCCTACTATTCCCCAGCCTCTTCTGACTCCCTCCACCCCAAATGGGCTGTAGCCATAAGCTACATTTTAGCCCAAATCTTCCCATTCTTTTTAGCCTACAAATGATACTAGATCCTATTCAGTACTGCATACTTCAGTTCTTCCCCCACCATAGCTAATCTGCAAGAACACTTGCATGTTTATCACTTTTAATGTCAACTCTTTTCTTTTCTCCTACTGGATCTTCATCCATGTCATTTTTCCTTTTATGAGTTGCTGTGCTCAGCTTGAAAGTCTTCTCTCTTTTGCCTCTTTCTGTTAAGCATTTTATGACACTTTGTATGAAGGCTGCTATATCAAGATAAGTTGTACTGTTGTGTGATTCAGAACCCGCAGAGTTAATTCAAATGAAATGAAATTGATGTTACTGTGACACGGTGTTCATTGATGTCTAATTCTAAAATGCTAAAAGCTCCCAATGATTTATTTGCAATGACTGCAGGATTGGGCCTTAAATTGTTTTATATGTTGAGTCATATGTCAATCACTGTTTCAGGTTGACAACATTTTTAAATGTGGCTGTACTATCACTCAACTGTTCTACCCACTTTGTGCGCCATTACAGCCTTCCATAAAGTCAAAGGGCACAATACTGTTATAAATAGATGCCAAAATGTTCTATGTGTAGGAAGTAGAACACAATTGACAATTAAGCTACATAGAGATGTCACATGCAGTAGACTGAATGTATTAAAAAAAATTGCTGTTGTAGCTTCACATTGGAATAGATGTCAATCATTTGACACTTAATTGATATCACAATTGTTGCCACAGAACATTTTAATACTGTATTGTGGAAGATTTTATGAATTGTTTGATAAACATTTTAGATGTCTTACTTGTTTCTTGTTATATACTATTATAATGCAAAAGTTTTTTTAAAAACATAAAAATAAAGGGCCTTTTTCTCATTTACGCTAAGGCCCTTTATCACCCTTCTGGGAGAACAAAATGACATTAAAGTGGAACTGAATGAAACTGACACATAGTAAGGTGTGTTAACTCTAGCAGGGTGGTGTAAAGAAGTCTTAGTGTAACTGAGAATCAAGCCTCAAAGTTGACTGTGCAGTCATCAATGGATGATCTTTACAATATCTCTGCTGCACACGTATTGGCCAGCGAGATCCAAATCATTATGCTGGTGTTTAGTTTAGAGAAAATTAGAAATGTAGTTTAGAAAGATATTCTAATCTAGCTTCTTTTGTAGGATTTAGATATCCAGCTGTAGGCTGACCTTCTTTCCCCTCTTGCCTACAAAAAGAATGTGGTAAGGGATTTGTACCTCAAATTAGTGACCTGGCTATAGAACTGGTAGGATTGTGAATAATATTAATTGCAAATTTGGGCAATTTTTCCTCAAATAATTATTCACAACATTTTTATCATTATTAAACAGCTTTACTTGACCACTTGAAGCGGGGTTGTGAGAATTCACTCAGCTCCATTCTCTGCTGACATAAGATCCA